TTGGAGAGATCTCATTGAACTGATGAATAGATGTAGTAGTTACGCAGAAGCATTTTCTGTATTACAATGTGAACTTGTAAATGCTTTTCAATATCACGAAAGAATAACTGATATTNAGCAAGATATAGATAATATGAAAAATTAATTGAACAAAATATGGCAGAAAAAATATAAAAGATGTAGAAAACGATTTTGAAAATTGTGCATTAAAATGTATTCCTGTTGAAACTGAAGGAGCTATGAGAGATTTTAAAGATGTAGTTAACAAAGTTGAAGAAAATAATGTCGATGAAATAGTAGCGCAATTAAATNCCGACCAGAAACGAATTTTTGACAGAATTACTGCCAATATATTATCTGATAATGACATTTTTCGACTCTATGTAAGCGGTGAAGGTGGTACTGGAAAGAGTTTTCTGATAAATACTATTAGATATTGGATAAAGAAACATCTCCAAAAAGACACAGCTGTAACCGCACCAACTGGTATAGTAGCTTTTAATATTGATGGACTTACTATACATAGATTATTTCAGTTATCAGTAGAGCACGGCCATACTGTCAAATATAGACAGCTTTCTGATATAGTTCTTAAAACTATACGAGAAAAAATGAAAAATGTTGCTTTAATAATTATTGATGAAATTTCAATGATTTCAAACATCACTTTACTATATATCCATCTTAGATTAGCAGAAATATTTAATACTGGAAATTGTGATAATGGATGGTTCGGCAAAAAACATATACTTCTTTTTGGAGATTTATTGCAGTTTCCTCCTGTACATGAAGAATCACTTTTTATTNAATTATCGAAAGCACAAATGCAGAAATATATTGGAGCAATGGGTTCTACAAATTTATGGCATTTATTTAGTCATGATGAAGTACGAATTAATGTGCGACAACAGGATGATACTTCTTATANAGACATATTATCGAGAATTCGCATAGGAACAGTAACAGATTCAGACATAACTACTTTAATGACAAGAAGCATAAAATTTACTAACATTACTTGTGATGGGCGATTATATAAATTATGTAATTATCTAGAAACGTTGCCAGTAGATGCAGTTTGCTTACTCCCAACATGTGCAATGTGTGATGTTTTAAATACGGCAATGTTAAGTCGTATTTCTTCAGACNAAATAAAACTTGTTGCTTATGACGTATCAGACTGCGCACTATTTTTAAAAAATAAAGTTCAAAAAATATTAAATAAAAACAATGAAGATTCATCTCGAACAACTGGATTAGCGANAATTATTATTGTAAAAGAAGGAGCGCTTATAATGATCAGAAGAAATATTGATGTCACCTTAGGTCTTGTAAATGGCACGATTGGTACAATAACTTCAATTATACGAAATCCGAAGGATAATGAAGTAGAAAAACTAAAAATAAAACCATCCTTTGAAATTGGACATACGATAGAACNAATTAGCGTTAAGTTTGAAGTAATGGATAGAGCGTTTGTTATAAGAAAACAATTTCCTATATGTCTAAGTTATGGAATGACTATTCATAAAAATCAAGGACTGAGTTTAAAACATGCCGTTGTGGAAGCCGGAAATTCTGTATTTACCTGCGGACAAATATATGTTGTTCTTTCACGAGTAACTACGCTGAATGAACTACATCTTATAAATTATGATCCT